GCTGGGGGATTGAACCATGGTCCCTGTGATTTGCTAAGCTTGTTCTAAATAGGTGCTTTAGACCACTGAGCCATCTCACCAGCCCTTTTTTTTTTTACTTTCAAGAAGTGAAATGATTGTGTACCTCAAGAAAGGCAATTTTGTGGTTACTTCGTCTTGCTTTTTTTTAATTATGTATTTAGTACAGGGTCTATCAGGGTCTATACACAGATCAGACTCGTAGTGATCCTCCTGTTTTCAGCCTCTCAAGTGCTGGGATTACAGGCGTTCGCCACCATGCCCAGGCTCATTCACTGTCTCAGCTCTCCCTAGGGGTGGCGCTGGTACTGCAGGCCAGGCATTGAATCCCAGTCCCTGTGCCTGCCTAAGCAGGCACTGTAGTCCACTGAGCTATCTGGCTGGCCCTCGTCTTGCGATTTGTCTTGAATTTTTTTTTAATAGAGTGAAGATACTCCATGTATGCATACTATACAGTACACCCACGGAAGAAGGATCCTGGTTTCCATTAGAGAAAAAGAATGCACAACATGCCACGTAGATACCACACCTCACTAAACACAGTCCATAACACATGCCAATGCAACTTAAATTCATTTTATAAGATACTCAAATAGTTCATTCTATGTGATAAGTCTGACCTTCAAATTGAAGAAAGAATAACTCTGCTTGATCTGTACATCCAAAGGCTTAATTGGGACCAATCCAATACCATCAGGAGCCTAAAATGTGACAACAGAAAAAAATGGACAGTCAACTCAGCAAGAGCAGCTACACTTCTGTTGCGTTTTGAAACATGAAGCGAACAGTTCTTCTCTCAGAGAAGCCCTTCTCATAGCCATCGCTGCGCTGGGTCTGTGAGACACAGCGTCACCCTGGCAGTCCCCGGGAGTGTGTGTGGTTGTCTTTTTACCATGTCCTGTCACAGGCTGCAGTGTGCATCCAGAAGTCCTTTCAGGCCTGAAGGACTCAGCCCTCCGGCTCTGGGTAGTTCTATGGTGGAAACAACTGCTGGAGCATTGTTGGCTTATGTACTCAAGAAATATGGGACTCCATTTAGAAGTTCCATACGCTGTCTGCTTTTGGTCATTAAGAGACTTAAAAGATTATAATATTTGGTTCCCAAGAAATAATGAATCTGATGCTCACACAACAGTAGCCCTTCCCATGCGACGCCTCTCCAATGCCACACACTCTGCCCCAGCAGCTGCTTCCAGCGACACTGCGAAGCAGCCAGTGTACAGAGGCCAGGCCCTCGCACACTGCTCCAGCCTCAGGGCTCCTCTCAGGCTCAGCGGAAGCCTTGCATGACACGGGCTGCAGTCCTGTTTCTTGATTCCATCCTGTTCCCTGTGCTGGCCTTCCATGGTGCTGTCCAAAGAGCCAGGCTTGCATGCTCATCTGCTTCTGACTCCCAGAGAGCCTGGGACAGTGCCTGGCACTCAATAAATCCCATCCTTTCCGGAGTCTAGGACATCACCATTCAATTACTAGTAGGCTGTGCTAGTAACCATTATTTATAAGGAAATTTCCCAATTTCAAAGATCCTGAATGTAAGACAAAGTGCATCTTGGAATGGATGAAGTACAGGATTCATGGAATAACTTACATAGCTGAGAATTTTTATGGCAATGCCCAGCTTTGTATTTTTCATCAACCCCCGAACAGCAAAGAAGCTTGAATAGTACTCTCTGAAAACCCAATAAAGTGCTCTCTGAAAGTGCAAAGCAATTGTGTAAGTCTTCACCTGTTCACAAATAATGAAGTGGGCTGTCTGGCACAACGGTGACCTCATTTCACCACTGTTATTTGGTGTCAGAGTTTTGTTATTGCATGAAGAGCAGATTCAATATTTCCTAGGAACCCAAAATTTTAATCTTTTAAGTCTTTTAATGACCAAAAGCAGACAGCGTATGGAACTTCTAAATTGAGTCCTGTATTTCTTGAGCACATCAACCAACAGTGCTCCACAAATATTTTGAGATATTTATTTTATTCTTTGAACTCAAAAAGCTGTTTGGCACCTGCGCTCACAATCGTGACTGATGCACAATTTTTAATACTAATGTTGCAAACTTGGGCGACACTTTGTCATTTGACTCTGTGACTCAGTTTTCCCATCTCTGAAACAATGAGCTGATCATATAGGCTTACTGAAAATTAAAGGGACCACGGATAGATTTGAAGTCCTGAAGATCTTATGTACAAGGTAAGGGTTAATGAACTATTATTAATGATTAACTGTCATGTTTGTTGTAATGAATAATTGTGCCTCTAAGTTTCAGACAGAGAGAGAGAGACAGGCTGATAGGCCACAGTGGATGGGTCAGCCTGTCAGATTCTGGGATTCTGGGGCTACGTTCCTTCCTTCCTAGGTTGGCCCAGACCCTACTCTTGGCTTTCCTTCTGGGAGGCCGCAGAAGGCTCAGTGGAGCAGATTCTGTCTCTCTGGGCTGTGGGGCCTCCTCGCTTCCTCTTTGCCTGTCTGCTTTCAGGCCATGTTCCGGACTGAGAAGGGCCCAGGCTGACGTGGCAGGAAGCTCTGTGCAGGCGTACTGGGTTCTCTAGGTGCTGGCCAGTAGATGGTTCCTGGTTTCTCGCAGGTCACAGTTACCCAGGCCTGGACTTGAGGCCTCGGAGGAAGGGAAGTGGCTGAGGTGGGATTCTCAGCAGCCTGCCCAGCAGCCCTGCAATGGTGCCGGCCCCACCCACAGCAGAACGGCACCCACCAGTTCGTTGGAGTCCTGGGGAGGGTTGTAGGACGGGAAGGTGAAGGGCAGCACTTCCTTGGGTGACACTGAGAACTGGCAAGAGAAATCCTCCTGACTGGTTCCTGACTGAAGGTACCTGCAGGGATGCTTGTCTATGGGTGAAGAACACAATAGTTCTTTCAGGAGTCTTTTCATGTGAAACCACCACGGTTTAATTATACATTTACCTCACACCATTTCAGACAGAATATTCCTGTTTATATACATACATATATACACATACATATATTTCCATTTTTTGTTCTCCTGTGTTCTTTACTTCAACCCATTATCTAGTATTAAAAATATTTTATTTTGCTTCCCAAAACTATAATTCTGCAAAAATTTTTTAATAAGTATTGTGTATATTAATGGAGCTTAGCCTGGTGCTTTTATATATGACTATATGCACTTACTGAATCCAATATTTTTTTCCTTTTCCAAATCCTTAGTAACCACTTTTCTACTTTCAATTAAAATTTTTTTAAAAATTTAAAACTTTTTATTTGTTTGAGACCAGATCTTACTATGAAGTTTGGATTCATAGTGATCCTCCTGCCTCAGCCTCCCCAGTGCTGGGATTACAGGCATGCACCACCATGCTCTGTTCCAGGACTGGCACAGCATGCAGTACCAGGGATTGAACTTGAACCTGCCAGCGTTGCCAGGCAGGTTTCTATACCGGGGAGCTATCTCCCCAGCCACTGTTCTACTGTCAGATCCACCCTAAACTTTAATTTTAATTAAAACAGCTCTTATGGATTCAGCAAATAAAAATATGAAATTACAAAAATTTTTGTAGATATCCATACATGAGTTGTGGGTAAATTTTACTTTTTTTGGTTTAAAAAAACCCTTCAAAACCAGAATTAAAAATGAAATAGGAGGAAATAAGGAATTAATAAGATGCTAAGAAATGCTTTGGGAAACAAAAACGCAGCTGGGCACTGGGGGAGGAGGGGTGTAGAGGGTGCATCTGCTGCTTGGGGGGACAGGGGAATCTGGGCAGCTCAGGGCTCAGGCCCAGAGGGAGGAAGGTCCAGGAGAAGCAGAGCCTGCTGCAGCCTTGCACAGGAGCCCTGGACTGCAAATATGAATGCTAGAAGCAAATGGGGACGTGGCTCCTGGGCTCCCACTGAGGGTGGATCTCCAGCCGTCCCTGCCAACCTTGGGTTTAGAGGATTGAAATTTCAAGCAGCAAAAACAGTCAAAGACTCAAAAGCTTTGAATGTCAGGTACAGATGGAAAAAACATCAGATTGTATCAATCTCTCAGAAAATATAAATCACAACTTGCTGAGTATCTCTGATGGTTAGAGGCATAAGGGCTCCAAACAAGAAGTCAAGCCATGGCCAAACTCTACCCAGTGTACCACTTGGTCTTGTTTATTGTTAGTGGGGCAGGTGTTTTGAAAAATTCTTATTTATTTATTTATTTGTTTATTGGATATAGGGTCTCCCTATGCAGTTTAGACTCACAGCAGTCCTTCTGTCATAGCCTCCCCAGTGCTGGGATTATAGGTGTATACCATCACACCTGATTTTGGTGGCTGGTATGACATGTGGTACTGGGGATCGAACTTGGGTCTTTGCGCTTGCCAGGCAGGCACTTAGACTGCTGAGCTATCTCTCCAGCCCATGGCAGGTGTTTTGGCCAAATCTAGCAGGGAGATCTGCTTCCTGTCATGTGACAGGTAGGGAAAGGACACCGAGAGCTATCCATATCCTATTCCTCAGAACCTCTAAGTATGTTAATTTAGAAGTTGAATGGCACTTTCAAGGTGTGCATCACTGAGGTAAGAAGGCGGGCCTGATGGAATCACAGGGTTTACGTAAGAGGGCGATACAAGGAAAAATCGGAAAGAGGGACGGGATGACGGAAACGAGACAGCAGAGCGATGTGAGGGCGGGCCCTGAGGAGTGCAGGCGGCCTTTCGAAGCTGGAAAAAGAAAGAAAACACAGCCTCTGAGGACTCTAGAAGGAAACGGCCTGCTGACACCATGATTTTATTTTATTTTATTTATTTATTTATTTGTGGAACCGGGGATTGAACTCAGGCCCTGAGCTATCTCCCCGGCCCGGACACCATGATTTTAGACTGTGACCGATAAACCTGTGTTATGTTAGGCCCCTGAATCTGTGACAGTTTGTTCCAGCAGTAACAGCAAACTATCAGATGTGATTTAAGGAAATATTTTATGTCTCCACAGACAATTGCGTTATAAAGAAACCTCTCGCTCTGAAGGATTCGGGCCTCCGCCTCACCGCACGTCTCAGCTATACCTTACCTTGCGCTAATGATTGCCTTACTTGATAGAGATCGCGTAGTATACTCTCTTTGTCTATTTTACGGAGAGCAGTTAGTGTTTTGAGTAACCGTTGCTGCAGCATGATCTGGAATTGGAAAAAATGATTTTAAATTCCTAACAATACATGCTCACAACTAAGAACTGAGACCACCACTCTATGAATGTGAGAAATTTAAGGGATGTGCTGCCCAAGGCCAGGGTCTTGGGGACTTCATGGTTTAGCCAATGGGACCAACTTGGATACAAAAATCGGGCTATCTTCTATCCTAGTCCAACACAGCCTGTGAGCCCTGGGGTTCTCTTATTTCAAGATGGAAGGAATGAGTTTCTACCTTCTGTGTTTTGCATATATCTGAATAATAATACTTCCACTGGGGACAAACCACATGGGCGATTCTATAGAGGCAGGGCTGGAGCACTATGCTAATTAGCACTATGCTAATTCAGCGATTTGAATCTAGAGCTTAGTGATGCAGGAGAACACTGCTGTGCTCCGAGCTGGCCTGGGAACGCTCTTCCCTCCCACAACGAGCACTCCTTTCTCTTCTCTATAGAACTCTTTCATCTAGCACACTAAGGGCTAGTTTGTGCCCATCTGCGCAAGTCACAGGACAGACAGTGAGGTGCAAAGAAATACTCTGCCTGCAGGGGGCTGGCATTCAAAATGTGTGTGACGTGGGTAGAAAAGGGTGACAATGAACCCTTCCAAGAGTAAACATGGTAAGCGGAGGGTCTGCCCACGTAGGCAGGAAGGATGAAGGAAGGCCTCTCTGAGGTCACTTGATGGCAGTCTGGAGTAACAAGGGGACAGGCTGATGGTGGAAGGATCTTGGAAAAGGAGTTCTGAAAGCAGAAACCCACCAATACAAAGATCCCAATCCAACAACAATAAAAAAAAAAACGTCCAAGGGCAGAGAATTCAGTGTGGCTGTGCTGTCGGGATAAACACTGCATTTTATTCTAAATGTGACAGTAAGGTTTTGAAAGTATTTAGCCAGGAAATGGTATAGTCATTTCTACACTTTGCAAATCCTTCTGTGGCTGCTGTTTGGGGGGACTCGTGGCTGTGGTTCAGGTGAGAGACGGTGGGCTGCGGCGGTCGCTTGACAGAAAGTAGGGAACTATTAGCTGGGGACAGACTGGCACACAGGACCGATTGGCCTGCTGTGGCACCTAAGACTGGAGCATCACTCAGAACAAGCACAGAGCTTCGGGTAACACCTTTTCCGGGTTGGTGGGCTCTCTGAAGGGATAAAGTTTCCCCCCAGCAGCACAAGCTCTTGGTGTTAGTAAATGGTCAACAGCCATGTCTTCTCCCTCAAAGTGCAGCTTTGGCTACCTCTTCCAACCCCTTGCTGTCCTCCCCAAGCATCCTGTAGCAACCCCTCCTCTGTGCAATACTGTGCACAGGGAGCTCAGGGACACTAGCTCCACACAGGTTTGGAAGTTGGTGAGAAGCTCACTGACGTGCTGGCGTTGGCATCTGCAGCCTGAGAAAGCTGCCTGAAAGATGACTTACAACCCATGCCATTGGGATGCCTTATACACACTCACTCATTTAATCTTCACAGCAACTCTATAACAAGCCTAAGACAGGTCAGAGAGACCCATGTCATTTGTCTAAGATCAGGAAACTCAAACGAAGCAGCATCAGGAACTAAGCACAGGCGATCCCCAGAGCCCAGATGGCACAGTTTGAGGCCCATGTGCCGGCAGCTTGGGTGCCAGCCTGTGAGACTACTGGGAGGTAGTGGAAGCCTAACGGGAGGAAGTGAGGCCCTCGTGGCATGGCCTTGAAGGGCTACTGGGACCCTAATCCCTCCTTCTCTCTTTGCTGTGCAGCCACGACGAAGGGAGAAGCTTGTTCCACTCCACAGCTGCAGAACAGCAAAGCAAATTGACTATGGAGTGAGACCTCTGAAACTGCGAGCCAAAGCCAACCTTTTCTCCTTCTTAGTTGTCACAGCAACAGAAAGATGGCTAATACACTGGACCTTAGCCACTGCTCTCGCTTGCTCGAGGCATGGCCCTGCCCCCTAGGGAAGTCATATTTGAGGAATGAGAAATCTACAAGTAGCAATAGAAACTCACAGCACCAAAGACAGCCTGCTTGCAAAGGAGGACAGGCAGATTTCAGCTGGCTTAGGAGTGAAGAATGGACCCACAGAGTGAAGAGGGAGTGGCGTTTTAGTTGAAGGGGAAGGAGTGGAAACGCAAGCTCCTAGAAGGGAATAAGCATGGTGGGGCTGGAAGGTGAGGTTAGGGACAACCTGAAGGACAGCAGGCAGCTGGGAGGCAGGGCCACAGGCAGACAGATGGCGCCCTTCCGTCCTGCACTGGTACTACAGAGCCAGAAGTGTACACTTCGCCCTGACCTCAGTGAGGGTGAAGCCATGGCAGAGACACAATCTCTCTGAAGGGGAAGCTATAACCCTGATGTCAGGGACAAGATCCAGCTGGCATTCTCAGTTGTTCTCTCTGCTAACAGCTGACCAAAAAGTCCCTGTGTCGGAGCTGTCATACACTGTTGCAGATTCACTCCAACATACGTGTACCCGAGAGAACTCAAAGCACATCGTCACTGACTTGTACACGAATGTTCACAGCAGCGCTGCTCATCCTAGAGTGAGGCTGAAAACAACTGGGACCTCCATCAGTGGGGGAGCAGTTAAAGAAAGTGTAGTCTGCCGAAGACTGAAGCGTTTGTAACCATAATAAGGAACGAGGCACTGATGCATACTGCAGCATGAATGGAAATGCCGTAAGTGAAAGCAGTCACTTATACAAGATGAGCATTTTTGTGACTGTACTTATATGAAATGTCCCTAGAGGCAAAGCCATAGCGATGGAAAGTAAATTAGCGGTTGCCAAGGGCTGGGGAAGCTGGGAATGGGGAGTGACTGGCAGTGGGTCCTGAGTTCTTTTGGAGGTGACAGAAATGCCCTAATGCTACAGTGGTGTTGATGCCCAACTCTGGGCATACCCTAAAACCTACTCAGTCTGGCACTTTACAAAAGAGTTTTTATAGGAAGTAAATGGTATCAGCAGAAAGATGATTTATTTATTTTTGGTACAGGGACTCTAACTCAGGACCTTGCACTTGCTAGGCAGGCTCTACGCTACTGAGCTATGTTCCTGGCTCAAGATTTTTTTTTTTTTTAAAAGAAGAAGACATTACTTAAAAAATCAACTCCAGCATTTAATTTCCTTGTGCTGATGGACTAGACAGAAATCACTTCCGAGGGAGGCACTTACCTTGCATGCTGCTTGTTGAAATCGTCTTTGTGCCCTGAACCTGTCGATCCAATTATTATTAACGAGTGGATCAAAATTAGGCTGCAAATCTATGATATTCTGCGAATATAAAACAGGGGCACATTTAAAACTTAAATTTAACTCCTGACATAAGCATTTAATGAAGATGTTTTACCGTTTGATCCCAAGCCAAGTTATTAATTTATTCAGCCATTTAGTGAGCACTTACTAAGTGCTTTTGGTGTGCATAGTATTATGAGGAATGTTTCTGAAGCTGGGACTAAGACAGAAGAAAAGATTTCGGTTTTAAGAATGGATGGGTGGGGCTGGAGAGATGGCTCAGTGGTCTAAAAGCACCTCCTTAGAACAAGCTTAGCAAAGCACAGGGACCACGGTTCAATCCCCCATCACCACATGCCAGCCAGCCCCGCCCCCTGGTGGGCTGAGCTGGCCACACACACACACACACACACACACACAAAAATGAATAAATAAAGAATGGATGGATGGGTGCAGGGTAGAGCGAGAGCAGCGGAGCATCAGGGGCTGCAGGCTCTTGGGCAGGGAAACAGCATGGCGGAAGTATCAAGCAGTAAGTGGTTTGCACACCGTCCTAGGTGACAGGCTGTAGGAGTGGAAGGAGGAGTGGAAACACGAACAAAGACCTGCTGAGTAGGGAAAGGTGGCACGTGATGCTGGGACTTGGGGATGGCCTTGTTGAAGAGCTACAGATAAAAAGACTTTGTGGTCACAGCCAATGAGAGGGAGAAGAAAAGAAGCGAGAGTAATACAGGGATGGCAAACCCCACATGACAGGGATGGCACGAGGGGTGGGCTAGGAAGAACTGTTTCCACTGTTAGAGTTAAAAGTTGGAGTTTTGGCCAAAACAGTGGTGTGACAGAACATCCAGGAAAAGGGCTACTGTTGTCATTTTGTATTTGAGGACACTAACGGCATCATGGCTAGGAGGCTTGTCTTCAGTCCCACATATGTCACAGAGCTGGAGCTGCGCAGTGGCTTCTGTCTTGGGATTTGCATTCTTTCCACCACGGGGTAGGAAAGGGTGGACAGAGGTCATGGGCCCACTTTGGGGACCTGAAGGCAGGCCTGGAGACCAAAGGGAAACGAGAAAGGAGGCCAAAATGGAGGAAGAAGAGGTGCCGAGGAGGAGAAGCCCAAGTATATGAAGCTGCCAATGTCAGGGGAGGAACTAATTATGAGTTGTAATGCTTTACTTGAGAAGAGAATGCAGAGCAAAGAAAACCATCCTGAGACATAAACGCAACCAGATACTTCTTGGTAAAGGAATATCTATAATATTGCTTAACATTTTCAAAAACAAGCATTTAAAGAACAGTCAACAATTAGATTCCAAACAAAGCAAAGTGACCCACCTCTTCCAGGCTGCGAATGACCCGTTTATCGTTAACTTCTGTCTTGAGTCGCTGAAATTCCTCTTCCAATATAGGATCTCCTCTTTCTAGCTGAGTTTTTAATCATCAAAAATAGTAAAGTTGAAGGGAATGACATACAACTTTATTTCACTCTAAAACTAGTAGAAACCCTTTAAGCAATTGGTCAGACCCACTCGTGGAGCCCTAGATTAAGAGTGGTTAAGATACAAGGTGGTCCTTAACTGTCAATAATCACATTCATTGTTTAGATAGAGGGAATTTTTTTTTAAAATTTCATTTATTTATTTATGTGTGTGTGTGTGGCCAGCTCAGCCCACCAGGGGGCGGGGCTGGCTGGCATGTGGTGCTGGGGGATTGAACCGCGGTCCCTGTGCTTTGCTAAGCTTGTTCTAAGTAGGTGCTTTAGACCACTGAGCCATCTCACCAGCCCCGATAGAGGGAATTTTTAAAGAAGCAAGAATTGAAGAAAGATTTTATGAAGTTACATAACAGTGGGAGTATGTACATTATATACTTCATTGAGAAGAGCTGTAATGTTCCAGTGAGTTTGTAAGCTCCTCAGAGTTATCCAAATGTCAGGTTTTAATAAAGCCGTGTGGTGATTCCTTCCCTTTCCTTGGTACTACAGGTCAATGGCTCTTCCTGGGTTTGGAACTGATCATGGCCATCCCTGAAGTGAATCCCCAGCTAGCTTGCCCCAGGCCCTGGGTCTGCCAGGTCAGTGGCCTCTAGGCTCTCTCTAGGCTCTCTTTCCTCATCCCGGGAGCCACAGGTGATGCCAGAGATGCGCTAGCTGGCCTGGCCCCGGGTCTACACATACAGGCCCAGAGAAAGCGGGTACTGTGCATACTGCAGATCATACTAGTTTTTTACTATCTGTGGGTTCTGTTCTTAATTTTCTGGATAACTTTGAAGACTAGCTTGGCTCCCGGGTATCCTGTTCACAGTCATTTGTATAGACTTAACTAGAAGAAATGGATTCTGATCACATTAACATCCTATTCAGAAATAAGAATTATTGTCAGAAGGGAGGTAAGCTGTCTAGCTCGGGTTCATACTGAGTCTGGCAGCTCAAGCTCATAGTTCCGATTTCATGGGGGAGAGACCCAGAACCCTCACCATCACCACAAGAGGAAAATGCAACAGGCAACGTAAAGGAAGGGCTGCTGACAGGCTGCTGGCTAGAATAAGGAAAGGAAGTGATTATCGTGTCTTTAGAGAGACTCTACTTATGTCTGATAAATATTTGCGAATTTAACATTTTCCACTGTCTCTCCTGAGCATAAACTCATCCTTCATTCTTCAGGGTCTGTCCGTGTCATCTAGCTGTGACACTGACTTCTCATCCCAGACCTCTTTTTCTCAGTTTTTTGCAATATACTTCAGGCTTCCACATGTTCCTGTCACCAGATCACCTCCCAGGGAGCATCTGTTGGACAAAATCCCTTGGACATATGGGGTAAGCACCCAGCACACTTGGTGTCCCAGGCTCCAGGACCTTGGCTGCCTGTTCATCTTCTGCTTGCCCCGGCCAGCGATGCTAAGGACTGGACCTCTCCTTTCCTGTACACACTGAGAGCTGCAGCCTTAAGGCCCACAGAGACCTGGTCCTGGCATGTCTATATCTCATTATTGTTATTATTATTATTGTTGTTATTGGTACCGGGGATCGAACTCAGGATCTTGAACTTGCGAGGCAAGTGCTTATGTGAGCTATCTCCCCAGCCCATCTTTTTATTAAAGAGTTAAAAAATAGTATTCCATTGTGGGGTTGACAGAAAATACTTAATATTTAGTGTTTAAAATAGACTCCAAAGAATAGAGCTACATTTATGTTATGGTTTATATCAAGTGCAGTCATGGGGTGGGGTCTTCTAGAGTTTGTGATTAACTCATGATCCATGGGGATTATGTGTAATCCAAGACTGGGATTATGGGTTTTAGTACTGCTAAGATTATGGGTGTATGTACTTCTCCCAGCCTAGGGCAAAGAGCCTGAATGCCATATAAAAGAGACAGACAGACTCTCTCTGTTGCCATTGTTGTTGTTCTGCCGCCATGAACTGCTGCCCTCTGCCCTGTGCCACTCTGCCTTGGAGCCAGCCAAGTATGGACTAAAATCTCCAGTAACTGGGAGCTAAATTAACCTTTCCTTCCTTCATTTTCAGTGTCGGGTATTTGTCCCAGCAACGAGAGAAGAGTAACTGAGACAATTTAAATAACAATCTAGTACTTCTCTTTCCTAAATGTGAAAATTTATCAAGGTAGTAATTATATATTCTTCTGTTGATTTTACATTCTTCTGGATTTCTTAATGAAAAATAAAAATATGATAAATTTACTGAAACATCCAATTTGGGCTCCAACTGGAAGAAAAATGAGATAGCCAACAAGATACACGTTTTTCTTAATCCCCCCTAGTCATAAACTCAAATTGGTCTCTCAAACTCATACTACTAAGCTGCAGGATCTGTTAGGGGTGAATTGTGTCCCCACAACTCATACATTTCTACTCTAACTCCCAGGATCTAGGCCTATGACTATATTTGGAGGCAGGGTCTTTAAAGACATGGTCAGGTTCAAATGAGGTCATAGGATGGGTGTCGGTGCAAGAAGAGGAGCTTAAGATGTAAGACACAGAGAGGATGGCCATCTGTGGGCTGATCGGAGGACCCAGAAGAACCTGCCCTGCTGACACTTGACCCCGACACAGCCTGCTGTTGTCTAAGCAGCCAGTTTGTGGAACATTCTTACTGCAGCCTGAGCAGGCTACTACAGTCTGTGATTATCCTGTGAGTCCTATCCATGAAGTCCAGACTCCCATGTACGGTGTCCCGGCCGAGTCCTTTCCTCCTCATTCATATATGCCCCGTGCTTCTGCCCCATGGACACGTCCCCAGTCCTCTCTGCCCCCGCGCTGCTATACTAAGCATCTCCACACCATGGCCCACGGGTAAGGCTACAGATACTGTGTAGTCACATACCTTCCCTCCCTGAGCTCACAGACACAGCCTGGTGTCCCCGGTGTGGCCCTACTCCCCTCAGCCATGCTGCCCTTCTCTGCTCAGCCCTGCTGAGTGACTTTGACATGGGACTGGCTCTGGTGTGACTCCTGGGCATGCCTCTGGGCCTCACTTGTCACTGTGCTCTGCAGAATTTGGGACAGGTGTACCTCACGACCAGAATTACAGCCCAAATTTGAGCCATTCTGTCTGACTGACTTTGTCCTCTTGCTAATTTTCAAACTTGTGCTCTTAATCCTCTCTTCTCTGGCTTCCGAATCCCTCACAATGCACAGCACAGGTCTCCTGTGACACCCTTGCCTTATAGTTTAACAATGTACCCCTCACCAGCCTCCTCCCCTCCCAGTGTCACTATGCATTCTTTTCTCCTGATTTGGCATCTTGCATGCAAAAGGAAATATCCAAGTAGCAGTCGTGCTGACCTTATAGTTGGTGTATATTCTTTGCTGCTCCTCAGTAAGCTCCTTTCTATATTTAAAGGACATAGGATCCTTCCCAAGGTGCACCTGCCTGGAGAGAAGAAAGCCAACTTCTAGAACCTGTCAGGAAGCGGAATCAGCGGGAGGATGGAGTGTATGTGGGATATTTTGCATAAAAATGGGGTGTTAGGATGCTAGAGGAAGCACCCTGGGGGAGAAAAGTTGTAGAGGCCCTAGCAACACCACTAAGATGAATAATAGACATCATTAGTCATTAAAGAAATGCAAATCAAAGCCACAGGAAATACCACCACACATCCATTGGGATGGCTGTGATAATAGTGGTACTTTTCAAATAACGGAAAACAAGAGGTATTGTTGAGAAACTAGAACCCCCATATGTCACTGATACATATGTAAAATAGGGCAGTAAAGACTGTACACATGGGAAACAATTTTGTGGCTTCTCAAAGAATGACCACAGACAAAAATTCTACTCCAACAGATCTGAAATATGTTCACTCAAAAACTTGAATATACGCGTTCATAGCGGCGTTACTCGCAAAACTGGAAACCACTAAAATGTCCACCAACTGACACACGAGTAAAATGAAATGTGAAATTCCCATACAAAAGAGCATTCTTCAGCCATGAATAGAAATGAAGCGCTAATACATGCTATGCTGTGGATGGACACTGAAACTTTAAGTGGCAGAAACCAGCCACGTAATCACAGGTCATGTGATTTCAGGTGTAGGAAACACCCAGGACACACACTCCATAGTTGACAGTGACAAGCGACTGCTAGGGATCAAGAGGTGCAGAGTGACAGCTAATGGGCTGTATTCACAAGTTGTTAAAAATACAGAAAAGATTCCACCTGATCACAGAAGCACAAGAATTTTTGTATCTGAATTTTAATCACCAGATTCCCCATTCCCAACAGTTGGGTTCCCCAGAAAGCCCCTCTGGGCACACGACATAGGGCACAGGGGCTCATGGTGGGGGTGAGAGGTGAGGGGATGAAGTGTGGGGAGCCTGAGCCACCTCAGCTCCACCCACCCATGGGTGTGTGTCAGGGCACTGCTGGTGGTGGTGGCCAGCAGGGGTCAGGGTCCCAGCCTCTGTCATATTCACTCCAGCCTTCTGTTGTCACGTCACACTTAGGGAACCACGCAGCTTGCTCAAGTCAGTTTATTCTTTGTGTGTGTGTGTATGGCCAGCTCAGCCCACCAGGGGGCAGGACTGGCTGGCATGTAGTGCTGGGGGATTGAACTGCGGTCCCTGTGCTTTGCTAAGCTTGTTCTAAGTAGGTGCTTTAGACCACTGAGCCATCTCACCAGCCCCCTGTCAGTTTATTCTTAATAAATTCAGAAACTCATTCTGAAATAGACCAGTGGAAGGGAAGCAGTGATCCCAGTTGCCCAAGAGTGTAAAAATTCATTACTTCTCATACATAAAGATAATCCCTTACAAACAATCACACTGCCACTCAGTACAAATGATTGCTCCGTATTTACCACTTAAGGTGATTTTCCATCTCTTCGTAAGCATCTTGTCTGACTTTCTGTTCAAAGAGCGCCTCCTTCATCTGTCTTGTTTTTGACGTCTCGGTGCCTTGGTCCAAAACTGAAGGTAGGAGCAGCAAACGATGATTACCCCAGTAATCAAATCAGAACCATTTGCTAAGACAAAAGCCACATTTCTAGTGATGAGGCATAACAGCAACCTAACCGAGTTTTCATAAATAGTGCTCATCAATAACAAAGGCAAAAGGGAGCAATTCTTTCATATTCTACCCAGGGACTGATTCATGGGGGATCAACTGGTTACCTTCTCTTAATTCTTTAATCCTCAGTTTTCCTGGTTCTTGGTTTAAAACCGTAGCCACGGCAAATGGGTTTGATAGATTGACTGGGAATCTCAGGTTCTGGTACTCAATTTCCTGAGGGACCGAACAGCAGGAGCGTCATTTCTGCGGCGCTGCGCTGCATCCCCAGCACACCGAGGACCGCCCGCTTTACCTTCATCTTTGGAGGGGCTCTCTTCGCTGGTAGCTGGTGAAAGCATATATGTCTCATTGTTTTTTCTGGAGGAACGCTTCCCTTCTTAGAAAGAGTATTTAATCTTTCAAATTCTTTCAATCTATAGTTTTAAACAGATACCTAATTAGAATACAAGAGCCAATAAGTCAAAGTTCCTATTTGTATGTCCCTTCCGGTGAGGCCACAATGTGCGGCCCATTATTATATCTGAACTGGATATAAATCTGTATGCCAAGATAGTGGTCTATCAAAATAGATGTAACGTTACTCTATTTGTGTGTACTCACTCATACACATCACAATAACCCCATGGTTGTTTCTCACTGCATTCTTTAAGAATAGAAAACATAATATGCTCAAAAAATGCTTTCCTGGTCTAGCATAATTCATTTCTAGGTTATTAGTTTTCAACAACAATACAGATTACAACTCTTACTTTGAGTTATGGGTTGTGTGTAGGTGTCCCTCAAAAGCCTCATGCCATCATGGGGCAGACTCCTAGAGGTTATGATAAATTCATGATTCAATGATGGGATTATTGGGGCTGGTGAGATGGCTCAGTGGTCTAAAGCACCTACTTAGAACAAGCTTAGCAAAGCAGAGGGACTGCAGTTCAATCCCCCAGCACCACATGCCAGTCAGCCCCGCCCCCTGGTGGGCTGAGCTGGCCACACACACACACACACACACACACACACACACACAAATAAATAAATAAATAAAATTCAAAAAAATGGTGGGATTATGGGTGTGAGTGCTACTGGGATTAGGGGTGTGAGTGCTACACTCAGCTTTGGGCAGATAGCCCAGCTATCATATGAGAAAGGGAAAGAGGCTTTCTCTCTGCCTCTGTTGCTGCCACTGCTGCTGCTGCCACCTCTGCTTCTCCCTTTTTCCTTTTGCTGTTTTGCTGTTTCCCACTGCCATAAATAGCTGCCCTCTGCCATGCCAGCCTCTGCCCTGGAGCCAGCCAAGTATGGACTGATACACAAACCGTGAGCTAAATAAACCTTTCCTTCCTTAATTTTGGGCATCCAGTATTTTGTCCCAGCAAGGAAAGAAAAGTGACTGAGACACTTCGATTTATCTTTCTTGAAAACGAATGACTGTGCTCATTGGTAGTATGATCTTTCAAAATAGAGCTTTAAGCCAATACGAAGGATCTTCTCTGCAACTGAAAACTACCTTTGGACACAGGGTAGATAGAGGTAATGCAACTAATAAGCTAGAGGAGATGTAGGACTATGCTATGTTGAGGAGTGCTATCCATGAAACATTCTTTTTTTTAAAGAAAAAAAACATTAAGTTTATTGAGAAACAAATAGCAATAAGACAGTTTCAAAACCATTCAGTAGGAGTTTCAATAATAAATACAGTGCACATTGTTGTCTCAGTGGTTATTCATTGTACAAGATGCAGACATGACATCCTGTCCACAAACACTATTAGAACAAATCTTTTTTTTAAAATTTTATTTATTTATACGTGTGTGTGTGTGTGTGTGTGTGTGTATGTGTGTGTGGCCAGCTCAGCCCAGCAGGGGGCGGGGCTGGCTGGCATATGGTGCTGGGGGATTGAACTGTGCTCCCTGTGCTTTGCCAAGCTTGTTCCAAGTAGGTGCTTTAGACCACTGAGCCATCTCACCAGCCCCGGAACAAATCTTATTCATTGAATTAAGAGAATGTAGCTGTAAATCTATCCTATTTTGAATATACAGATACAAAATGGTCATTCATTTGTATCCCCCTTTTTTTATTTAGTTTTTTCAGAGAAGGGTATTCTATTGTCATTTAAACATTGTAGGTATGTGAATTCAGCAAAACCATCCAGTAGAAAAGTATGAAGACGAAATATAAGAAATAAAGCCATGCTGTTAAGTTAAGCTGTGGGGGACTCAGGTCAATAATTTCTGACA